CAGACGGGTCATTTCGTCCGAATACTTATGCATACAAAAAATGTGTAAACTTTGTCTTAGTTCGAAGCGAACGAATTTTGAACCCAGGGACACCGTGTTCTTAGCACCAACCACCTTCACCTGTAGGCAAATTTTGAAAGGATCTGTAGGGAATAACTACTTACCCTATTTCATGAGTATTAGCCTTATATAAAAAGTTGGCATTTCTGAACCTTGGGAGCTAGTCTGCTTGTTAGTGAACTGTTATTACATCGGACCATTATTGTTAGCCACAACGATATGCCAGAAAGTATCGGATGAGGTTACATTTCAGTCATTTGTATGCTGCATATGCCTCCTGCACAACAAAAAGTTGCACTGAAAGAGTCTTTCTTACAAAGTCTATTAATCGAAAAAAATGCATGCACAGTTGGGTGATACGCAGTTATTATGTGCACTGACTATCCTTGAGATATAGGTCATTTATAAAATCGTGACCACGGATTTGACTACGGACTTTGCGCCCATAGGAGCATAAAATGCTCATACGAGAACGCATACAACACCTCAACGCTCAGCTCAGTCACTTTCATTGTCGAAATAATAAAATACGTGAACAAAAAATTATTTGACTAGAGAATCGAGTAAATGCGCTTTCCGGAAGTGGCGTGCGTGTAGCGCGCGGTCGCACGATCGTCACGATTTCCCAAATGCACTTACAATATGTAGTTTTTCAAAAATTGAATACACTAAAATCTATTCCACCTACGATGTGATTAGACTTGGATTATAGGAACGAGATGTCGTATGATTTCAATTTTTCTTTTCGATTTTCTTGATTTCTGCGTGAATACACAGCAAACGCCTCTGAAATCGACGCTGCCCAATGGACAATATCCGAAATTCAAAAATGGAAGTGGCACGAAAACTTGAAAAAGGGGGAGGGGTATTTTAATCAGTATGTGAGTAAAAGTTTCAAGTCTCACCTCGAACTGGCGAAAACTCAACTAAATTGGTGAGGGTGAGCGATGAAATCCTTGAAATTTGTTGCTTTCGTAATCACCTTATATTCCAACATACCAATTCACATCTTCCTAGCTCAAAGCTAGCAAATAGTCGTAAAATCGTGCAAATGATCGTAAGCGACATAAAACCAACAAATGCGTAAAACCAACAAAAGTGATCTATGACTATATTTCAATCATGGGCACTATGCTTCACCTTCCACTACCCGTAGCCAATTTTCAGCTTCTTAGCACAAGTTTGCCAGCAAATCGAAAGATTATATTGATAACGAACAATCTACACGTGCAGCGCCTCAAAGTGTCAAAGGTTTGATCTTTATCAGTTAAGATAAGGCCGTAGAGAGACATTCATTGAGCTTACATGAGATTAACCTAGAAACCTTAGATAAAGCGCTTTATCATTTACTTTAAAGCTGTATAGCTGATGCAATTATGCAAGGAGACATCTTATTATGTACTAGTTTGAAAAAAAGCTAAAAGCTGAAAGCTATCTTCTAAACCATTTATTTGATTTCAGACCGCGCCCTCGCACTTTACAGTACTGCAGAAGTGCTCCTTCCTTTTCGTGTAATGAATAGCAATTTTATAATTTTGTGTGATATTTAAATAGCTCTGCAAGAGCCTTTGCACCATGCACTGCAAGCGCTACGCTCGCTCCTGAACTTTTATGGAAACCATTGCAGTTTCATACACAAAGTGTTATGTGCGCATTGATTATACTATAAAGAGGAGGATAGGAAAACCTTTAACGTCTATACTAACAAAGAGGGAGAAAAAAACAACGCGGCCTTGTTCTTGTCGTCTTTTCCCTGCTTATTTATGCATCTCTAACCGACGAGAATTTTGTTTTGTGTAGGATGCGCTTGTTATCATGACCCTCCTGCAGAAATTGAAACCATTCATATAGGTCTCAACGCTCGTTGTCTCATAGTTGTCAAATCACAAATTTTGATGTTTTGCTTTCAATAATGAATCAATATAAGAGTCAATAGCCGCGAAATATTAGCATCATTCCAATAATGCCACCTCTTACGAGGGGAAGGATACTTGGTGACCGTGGCCTTTTGCAATGAGTTGTATACCAGTAGGTGCGTCTTGGAATGCTGATTCTAAATCTATGTGCAATATCTGCTGTGCGACTCCCTGAACAAAGTTATAGCCTTTTTTTATATGGATTTTGCGAAATTTAGGCAGACAAAATCGTCAGTATCCAGGCTTTTTAGATTCTGATGTATTGGTGACTGTTTTTCTGAACTTAACGCTTTACTTTATCTGTACGCTCTCTTGTAGTGCGTAAGTGAACACTCTAACAATATTGATGATTCAATATTCCTGCATCAAAAATTGTGCAAATTTTGCTGATAAGAAATGTTCACAATTTCTTTCGGAAGAGCGCGCAGCAGATAATGAAAACAGATTTGGAATCTGCGCCCCAAGATGCATTTAATGGTCTACGCTACATTCTAGAAGGCCACGGCCACCAAGTATCCTTTCCTTGTTAGTCATATGTGCAAAGTCATCCTAGTCAGTGGTGTTTTTTGGCAACCCTGCTGCATTTTTGAAAAGTTGCTGCTGGCAGATTTCTTTTCAGCGCCGAATTTATTAACCCATAGAATAGCTCAAGTTTGCGAGACTTTCATTAATTGCTAAGTAATTTTTTTTATATCTATAATAAGTTTAGCGATATGACAAGCAACATACTAGCTTGGTTCTTTTTGATGCTTCTGCAACCATTCTTATAATTAGAATATGGCATGAAGGTTGATCTCTCAAGATTTTATCGGTTTTATTTTAGAGATTTCAAATCCTACTTTTTGGAAAAAAATTTTCAAGGCGTAATTTTCATCAACTATGTATATTTCATTTTATAATACCGCCTATTTTCCATGGACTTAGAGCAAGCAGGTGAAAGGAGGAATTTTGAGTTTTAGCTTCTTCTCCTTCTTGAAGAAAAGATCTATTATAGATGAATACTTGTAGGAGGAACGTTCTTTCAAACATTAAGAGAGGTTTTTGAATGAAAAAAAAACTATTTCTCTACAAAAGCACCGCCTGAAGTACGAAAAACGTGCAATTATCAGCCAATTCAACAAACTATTAGGCTGATGCAAAAATCGTTCCTTGGATTTACTTCTGTTCAAAAGTAAAAGTCAAGATCTTCACAGAATCACCTTCGCCGTAAATCGGTGGAAGCAAATGCAAGTGTTAGAAATCCATGAAAAAATCTATTATTGGGTTGCAAAGAAAGTCCCCAGGCACTTTTGGAAATTTCATTTTCTAATGCATTGTTTTTGGCGCTCGGTCGGACTTTGAGAACAAGATTTTATACTGTTCAGTAGGGAGAAATCTGAGCTTTTCGAATCCGCTCCCAATTTTTATCGATACCAAATGGTTTGATCTGCACATCAAAAAAGGAAACCTTTCCAAACATAAAAATTTCGCAGTTTTTCTTCCTGTCGCCATTTTTTTGTGCAGTTCAATGAATATCGTTCAATTCGTGGGTGATCTGATAACTTCTGACTCGCAGCTGCATTCGAGTTTTGAGGTTTGCGCTCAGAAATTACAAGCTATCGAACTTGCCTCTGACTGCGACTCTTATCGAAGCTGACATCGCTTCTGCGAAGATCGCCAAGCTTGGATGATAGGTCCTAAAATGTGTAGGGCATTACTTCAACAATGTTCGCAGTAATCAAGATTTGGTCCAGCCTATGCAGAACGTAAGACTTCAAAGCCACTTGCTTGAAAGATGGTACATTTTTGGGAGCAAAAAATGGACGTTTTTTTCTAAATTTCCGAAAAACTTCCTTTACAGTTTCTCGCTCAAAGGCGTAAGTAGTCTCCATAACAGCACCAGCGGGCTTCTACATAACTACAGCATTTGAGCTCTCCAGCTTTCATTGTGCCTGAGATAATCCTGCACAAACAGGCCACTTTTCACGTCGACCTTTTTCCCTTCTGCGCATGCTGGTGGGCCGCAGTGAGGCGCTGAAAAACCAGCAAGACAAGTATATGTTGTAAAAAGAATTGTCTTTGCGATAAAGTTTGTAGCTTTAAAGAAGAACTAATATGCTTGAAACAGCAAATTAAAAAATTTTTTCACAAGTGCCCTGAAACTTTTTTACAACCTAATAGTATTTCCAGGCAAAATCACGAAAAACTGAAAGTAGTTTTATGTGAAAGCGGACATCATGCGCTTTACAGTAGTACTTTCGTCATGAATTCGAACGAGAAAATACGAGAGCTAGAAGCAAATGAAGAGAACTCAATTTTGGCAACTTCCAAACAAGCTCAAAAATATCCAGAACGTCACAGCTGAATCGAGACAAAACGAAAAAGTCATGGACATAGGTTTCAAGACCTACTCATTCTAGCTAAGAAAAATCAATGGTAATTGAGAGCAGATTGTTTTTCGTCAAAAAGAGCATTCCTTACAAAATTCTTGTCTTTTCGTAGGGACCTTCGTTCGCACGATAAGCTAGGAAGATAGAACATGCGTCCATGTTTTTTTTAAATTATTTTGTAAAGCTTTCGCATTTCTGGTGTGCTTACTCAAAATTACCCAAATTTAAGGCTTCTTCTTCTTGTGTTCTTTTCTGCGACATTCTTCAACTGAAAACTACATGATCTCTTCATTCCAACATTTTTACAGTAAATCATGCAGATGATAGTGAGTGACGTTTTCCCGTGAACCGTGAAGGTGTGATCGAACCTTTTAATCAACCTAACACATTCTGCTCCTCAACTTCGTCAACCAACTCTCTTCTGAATCATAATAAATTGAGTAAGACATCAATTCTCCGCAAATAATACAAAAATCTGTCACAGTGTAAGCATCTAAACCGATTTGCACAACAAAAAAAATCCTTTCCGAGTGAATCCACTTTGACGATATATAAATTAAAGATGTATTGAAGAAAGGCTAGCATGAATTATATATTTTCCACGTTGCTTCATGCCATTCACTTGACTTCACTCGACCAAATTTCCAATTCAGGAATGTCAGCTGTGTATATTTTATATGGATTGGTAATCGCTTTTCTTTTCTATGTGAGCTACGATGTATTTGTTGAAGAAATGATGAGGAAAGCGGAGGATCAGAGTTATTCACAAAGTTTGTGCTGGATGAAATGCTTTTATTTGGAAGCATATGAAAGACAATTCAAATACATTTTTAGGAGGCACATCTAATGCGAATAAGGCCACTGTGCTGTCGATCTTCAGCACAGGGTTTCGTGAGTCAACGGTGGAGTCATGTAAGGATATTAAGATTTCCCTTTATTGAAGTAGAAAATTCGTTGCAACACTTTCCTCCTTATCAGTTGGTTATCCGGAAACACACCGAAGATTTCTTTGCTGTCTTTCTGATTTCATTTACGTGCAGAAGAAGTTCCAGCTCAAAAATGTTGAGATGTTGTGAGAATCAATGGGTATGGGTCGACGCAAAAGTGGCCGTAATATCCCTAACAAAATTCTATTTCGTCAGAATGTTTAGATTTACTTTCAACCCAACTGCATCGTTCAATTGAATCCCTTCTTCAAGTCTTAGATTTACGTGCTGCGTACATACTTGGGTTCTGGCAAACAAAGAAGAGGGAAAGCTTTGAAAGATAGCAAATTTATAACGAATTCAAATCGAAATGGATCCATTAAGTTCAGGACTCGACACAGGTAGCTTATAAGGAAGTTGGACATTGCTTTTGGGACAAATAGCAAAGAGGTTATCGTTTCTGCGGTCTAAAATAGGTGTATTAGTTAACGTTTCCGATTTTGGGTTGTTTCATATTTTTTTAAAATTTTGACTTTTTAGTGCAACGGGTCATACAGCTCTAACATCTAGATAGATCTCAAGGTAGCCTTCCACAGAACAAAGCAAGCTTACAAGGTGGTCTTTAACAGTTCGCACTTGCTCCACCCCAAGTCTTGAATCAAAATCTGAAAAATACAATAAACTGAAAGAAATTTTCTACGAATCGCTCGCACAGCATATATACTTCCAACTCTGGTGTACCGCTGCTGTATCCGTTGGTTGTTTAGAAGTCGATAAAACGAAAATACAATGCTTTTCAGAGCAAACCTGTGCTGTTCCCATATGCACTATTTTACGTATACTATGAATCTTCAAAAGTACAGCTGTAGATTCATAGCTTCTACAACCTTTCTCCAAAAAATACTGATTTTATAATATTTTTTCAAGAATTACATAGCGCTTTTAGGAAGAAAATTCACAATTGTACTTTTAGCGTTTGTAGTAACAAGTGGATTTAAACAGCATAGCTTCGCAATTCTTAAACCATAGAAATTTTCGGTTTTTTTTTCAATTTTTAGCAGAGGAAAGAGTGTAGCAATATATTAGGTTGTTCCGAAAGTTTTGTCGGTTTTTTCAAACCACTGTAAAACCACGCACAATAAAGACCTGAGTGAGTTTCAGCATGCATTCGATGCAGCTTTTCCCTCTCTTTCTTACGGATACATTTTCATATTATAATCCTATGTGGTTTTTTTATAATTGCCAAAATTCTCCACCTGTCAATTTTACCTGCTCAAAGTTAGGCTAATTTTTAAAAATTTCATTACAAAGTTTCGAAAAGAATTAAGAATGGGTCAAATAGAGCGTCTTTCGGACTACAAGATGGTGTTTTTAGATATTTCTAATCTGCTGATTTTTAGGCTTCAAAAAATTATTTCTCCGGAGGTCTCGATTTTTGGCAAAGACATGAAAACGCAACTGCATAAAACACACGAAAGCTATTGAGGTTTCTGCGTATTGAAACAGAATTCTTACTAAACATCATCTATGCAACATAACCAACTTTGATTTGCTTCGAAAAAGCAGCTTTTTGGAATTTTTGGTACTTTTACGTGTTAAAATTATTCGAAAAGCCGCGGTTTTTAATAAAAAAGTAATTATAACGGATTTGGTAAAAGTGGCCCATGCAATCTAAAATGAACAAAATGTAGCCAAAGGTTTGCTCTACATAATGGTTATCAGCGCTCTTTGAAAACATCGGAATAAACAGTTCTAAAATTCACGAAAAATTTGGCGTTACTGCTGAGCTGCTCAAAAAGCCGTGACGGTAACATTGCGAAGACAGGATTGATCAAAAAGCAAGTATAACTGTAAGAAAGAGGATAAAAATCTGAACCAAATGGTGCCTAGGCCGTCTATGGATTGGTGATCTGTGAAGTTTAGTGAGAGATGAAAAAAATCGACAAAACTTTCGAAACAACCTAATATGTGTGAATGTGAAGTGTATATGCGTGAGAGACCTGTAAGGTCACTCACGAAAATACAATTTTTTCAATTTTTCGGGCTTGAAAAACTCCATAGACAATGGCTCAAAGCTTGAGGTGGATAGAAGGCAGTGCGAACAGACATTCATTGTTTTGTCCAGGTTACTTTGTTTGTCGAGTGATACTTGGTAACCTCAAATGAGAGAAGTATTACATACGATTTTATTGCGGTAAATAGTCAAAATCGAGATAAAGCATTAGACAACCCAATAAACTGGATTTATGTTGAGAGTGAGGAAATCATGTGAACAAAACAGGAAGAGATGCCCACCTCAGGTGGGATCAGGATGGTATATGCAACCCCAATTGTGAAAAAGTTCGCCATCTCAAATTCAAATCACAGCCGTTCCTGCCCAACCTTGGTGACCGGCTCGGTACCAGCCTAGAAGCTGACCTTCTTAAAAAGAAGATAAATTTCGTTGGATTGAAGTTTCCTTGCCAGATATTGCTTCAATTTCTTGAAAGAAGACAAACTTTTGAAGCATTCTCACATCTACTCTCTCTTTTTCAGCTCTCACTTATCTTTAGCAATTGAAAGGATCATCTTACATCTTAGAATAGAAACACCTTTTTTCTAATTTCAGCATTTCCATGTTTGATTTCTACAGCTGCACATATGAAATCTTCAGATTTCCCGAAAAAGGGAAAAATGCACATTTTAGGTGCACCCAACTCTTTTAAAATATGGAATGTAATTCGTGAGAGGTTTTTATTTGTTCATTTCCGGGACAGATATTCAAATTTTTAGAATGCTCATCTCGTCGTGGTTCAGAAAATAACAAATTTATGAGCATTTAGGTATTTTGAAAATACCTCGGAATTTTCAGTTGAAATTCGACAATTTTGACCAAATTTTTCCACTGACTTCTTTCGACAGGAACTCATTGCTCAATGATATTGTTCTCGCTGTGTCCTGTTCTATCACTACTCAGTTTTTCATAGGTCTGGAATATTAGTTTCTCGACTTACGCTCCTCTGATCAAGGTCCCAATTTGCAATTTTAGGCCGCCAACCTCAGTTCAGAGATCCATATCTCCATCGATAAAACTCACAATCAGCTGTTTTCTTCTAAAACTTGTGAAGGACTTCCTGTAGATTCATAATCAGAGTATGACTAGGAGATTTCTCGGCAGTAAATTCCTTTACTGCTCCTCAAACTTCCAAGCTTTCACTCAATCTCACAAATATCATTGATGACTATTTTCATGTAAAAAACTGAAAAAAGAAAGAATTTCTTATGCACAGTTTGTCAGCGATGCTCACGTTCACCATATTCAACATGAAGTTATAAAATTTCTGCCTATAAGCAGAGTTATGACGGTGCGACGTATCTGTCGCGGTGTAACCGTCGAAATTTCGGCAACGACGGATTTGTTGCGTCGGAACCGTCGACTTTTGCCAAACTGGTTTACGTAATTTACTTTGTAGATTTATTATGTTGCTGAAATCAGTGGTTGGTAGTCATGGTGGTAGTGAAATTAAATTTTCATCTACTTTGATCTAGAAAGCGTTATTTCTTGGTGACGGTTTCACACACAATCATTCCGTCGCGACCATTCTAAAACGATTCAGGAAAAGTTTTTCTCAAACAAATTTACATTTTTTTAGCCGTCATTCCAGTAGTATTCCGAATATGAAACTAAAATTTGAAAAAAGTAATTTTCAATAGAGTTATGAGCTTGCGACGATTTCGTGGCAGATCAATCCGTCGCCACCCCACTGAAGCAGTTAGGGAAATGTGTTTTGGGAATTTTTTTTGTTTTCAGAATCGCTTTTTTGTGAACTTTCCAAAAATCTCATAAGATTTGCAAAAAAATTATTCTGAAAGATTCTATGAGTTTCCGACGATTTTCTGTTGATTTATCTGCCGCGGCGGAAAAATCCATCGCCTGGCGTTTTTTTTTACGCGAGTTAGGGGCTGCATTGTATATGCAACCCCAATTGTGAAAAAGTTCGCCATCTCAGATTTAAAGTACAGCCGTTCCTGCCCAACCTTGGTAACCGGCTCGTGACCAGCCTAAAAGCTGACTTTGTTGACAAGAAGATAAACTTTGTTCGATTAAAGTTTCAGTGCCAGATATTGCTTCATTTTCTTGGAAGAAGACAAACTTTTGAAACATTCTCACATCTACTCTTTCTTTTTTAGCTCACTTGTCTTTAGCAATTGAAAGGATCATCTTACATCTTAGAATAGAAACACCTCAAAAAAGTAGATTAATACTGCTATTTCCAGTGATGACGAAAAAACTGCCAGTTTCTACTTACGATGGAGAAAAGACAAACGAGACAAACGAAGGTGACATTTTTGATGAATGCCCATTCCATCTTCCTGATCCATGGCACAAATCTGTCTTGAAGTACGTTGACGTCAAACATGGATACAAAGCAGTGAGTAGATTGTAATTCAGTGGGAATTTGGCTACTGCGAAGCATTCAATGACGTCACTTCAACTGTGAAATGACAAATAATGAAGATTTTCGTATGTTTTGGCATATTAGGCCAAGATTTGATTACTGCCGTTTCGAGCTAGAGACTTTTTTCGCGCCTTCAAACTTTGTAACCACCGTAAGTACTATAGTCCAAAATGGTGGTTTTTTTAAAGTAAAAGTTCAAAAAATGTGCTTAGGAATTTGCGCATAGGAGTTATCGAAGGCACTTGTTATTGATGTTTATTTCAATTTTGGCATGATATCATTTTGGTTAACGTCACGGTAGTGCGTACGCTCTCAACATCATAAATTTTCAAAAAAAAATTGTTGTGAGGTCACCTCAGTGCTGATCACGAATTCATTTTTCTTCACGGCTGCAGGGATGGGGGGTACGGTAGCAGTACGGTAAAATTTTTGTAAGACAGGAAATTGTCAAGAAAGAGCAATGTTGGATCCCGAAACTAAGGTATCAGCGTGCTAAACATTCTTATATGAGGTTTTTGCTCAGTAGGATCAAACTTCGAGATGGGTTAGCATGGCTCTTTTGCTCGCCCTGTAATT